TAGGTGAAGAATAAAGAAAACGAGGTTCCTTTACTCACACAAAGTGTTTACGGTAACTGATAAAATTATGCCTAACAAGGTGCTGCGTATCGTTGCGTACCATCAGAAAAAGCCATATATATATATATATATATATATATATATATATATATATATATATATATATATATATATATATATAAAGAGCAATTATCATCATCATCGTAATTATATTGTATTATAATTGGTCTTTTTGTCTCTATTGGGATAGCAAAGTGTTTTAAAATATGAGCAAGTTGGTACGTGACATTGTTGGCTTCTTGAATTCTCGTTGCTATCTCTCTGTCTGTTTCACTATTGTATGTAAAGATGCTTTCAAAGTATTTAAAGTCTTACACTTGTTTCAGACTTTGATCATTGGTCTTTATGTCGATGGCTTGTTGCTCTCTACTTATTTTCATGTTTTGTTTCTTCAATATTGATCTTCACGAGGTGTCGTGTAGTTGGTTTATTTGGTCCTGCAGCTGTTTGCTTCCACTGTAAAATATGCACTGATCGTTGGCAAAGAGCAGCTTATTGAAGTCCTCCTGTTTATCGACATCTGGTGGTGTTATGCCTATTTTTATTAATATGGTCTATGAATATTATAAAAAGTGAAGGTGAAAGAACACACCCTTGCCTCACTCCTGATGCTACTGAGAACCAGTCTGTGAGACCAACTCTTGTTCTGATGTCGCTTTCGCTTCTTCTATAAATAGCTCTTACACAATCTAGCATTGTTTTATTTAAACTATATTTTTCAAGGAAATTCCATAGTAAATCTCCGTTCACTCTGTCAAAAGCCTTTTCTTGATCTATATAAGCGATGTTCATTTGGTGTCTGTGTTTTTTATCTTTTTGTTCTCTTATCGTTTAGCTAATTTGCCTTAGTGCGAAAAAAGCGTCAGTGCGCATTCTTTCTTTCCTGAATCCGACCTGTGCTGAGCTCAGAACGGTTCGACAACAGATCTAATTTGTTGTTCCAGAATCTTGGCAAACATTTTAGGTACTTGACTTGAAAGGGAGATGCCTCTATAAGTTCTACAATTTTGCTTATTGCGTTGTTTTTTTCATATTCGAAATATACTGGCTCTTTCCCAGTCTATCGGTACAGCTATTTAATTCCAGGTTTTCCTAAATATATGGATTAGCGAGGTGACTCGTTTCTGGACAGGCCTGTATTGCCTGAGCTGTAATTCCATCAACACCAGCGGCTTTTTTTTTTGGACTGCACCTGATTGCTTCTCTAACTTCTTGTTCAGTTATTCCAGTCTGTTCCTCGTGTGCATACCTGGATGTGAAGGGTACAGTTCCTTAATTATTTTTTTTCGCTCACAAGAGTTTGGAAGTATTCTTTCCATCTTTCTCTAAACTTACCCTCTTCATGTATGGGTTTGCATTGACTGTCATTGACATGTTCTGATGGTTGAAATGGGTCATCTCTGGTTCTAACTTTTGCAATGGGTTTGTAAAATTGTTTACTAGAATTAGCACACATTTTGGTCAGATTTTAAAGATTACAAAAATAAAAAAATTTACGAAATGCAGATCCCACGAAGTCACGAACTGTGACCCGGAAGCTTTTACTTGCACTGTGACATTGTTGCTCTTTAAGACACGATTTAGGTAACCTGAAATAAGCAATTACAATTTAACTTTAATTATATAACTCTGCATCTATATTGCCTTGTTAAACAATGTAATTCCATGGTTCTGTGCGGTGATCAAGTATATTCCACTTTACCTATGCCTTAGCCATAGTGATGGCATCCTGATGATAACAACTTGAGTAACTTACTCAGTAAGGACGGTCATAGTCTTTCCGTCTTTATCTAGTGTTTCGTCGACGTTCGTTTTTAATTTTAAAACTTTCATTGATCACTATAGAAGAATTATGTTGCTGTCAGTTCCTATAAAAATATTAGATAGAATTATTTTGGAAAGACTAAAAGATGCTATTGATGATCATGAATAGCTAAGAGAAGAACAGGCAGGTTTTCGGCCAAATATCCTCAACTGACCAGAGATCTTAGTTACTTTGGTCAAATTTTCGAAATGCTCCTATACCAATAAAACCAGCACAGTTAGATAGCTGTAAACAATCTCTTTCCAACGGTACCTAATTTATGCTTGTATGTCAATTCTAAGCCGAGATATCTAGGTTTTTGTGGAAATGAGATGTAAACAAACAGCTGTTAAAACTCGCATCCCAGAAACAGGAATTATTTAAAAACTGTTATGGTTTAAAGGTCAATAAGTCACAAGACAAGATGGCAGACAATTTTTTTTAGACACAGCACTAATAGCGATTGCCTGAAAAAATGTCTACTGTAAATCGACTAAGCCATACATAAGACATAAATTTTATATACAAATGTAAAATTGGACGGAGAATTCAATTATAACTAGCATTACCATGTCAAGTAATGTTAAAGCCTAAAGCCAACCTTGAATACTTACCGCTATTTTCAATCAAACTGATGTAACAGAAAAACAGAGCACGTCAGGCTGTCGTAGACATGTGCTGTTAATCGGGTTCGTTTCCGCCGCTTTCAGCTATTTATACTGGTCAAAATCACACCAATCGCAAAATTTCATAAGAGATTACGACCCATCCCAAAACCAGCTGACATTTCCCAAACAAGTTTTGAACGGTTACCGGGTAACGGAAATTCTCGAAAAGACCGCAAATTGCCGAACACCGTAGTTGCTAGATCTATATTACGTACAATAACAGAGCAAGGCATTGAACTGAACTCATCCCTTTACATTGAATTCATAGATTAGGAAAAAGCTTTTGACAGTACTGAAAAACAGTTCAGTAACTGAACTAACGACTAAAGAAGATCAGCAGCGAAGACTGCTATGCTATACGACCACGATACACTGCTAAATTGGCTCTCCTCTGAACGGCGTCATAATATTATGGCGACCATAAAATATCCATACGGGGCTCAGTTCTATTAAAAATATGCCGGCTCCGTATAACGAAACAAATGCTTGGCTCTCCTCCAAACTTCAACCCGATATTATGGCGGCCATAAAATATCCTTACGGGGCTGTTTCTTTGACTGTGCCTCACCGCCAACCGTATCCCCCGCACCGCGCATAGCGGCGCGGATGGGGGCTAAACTAGATGACTGGGACTCACGAGCTGCAGCCACCGCATCTCCTGCAACTTCCTCCAATTAATTTACTCGTGAGTCCCAGGCACCTAGTTTAGCTCCCCCCCCCCCCCCCCCCCTATGCGCAACGTGGGGGATACGCTTGGCGGTGAGTTTAATAGCGTTTTGCGCATGCTATTATCCTCTGCTACTATAGTCTGCAGAAACGCTCGAAATTGTCAACGGTCGCTATTATCGTCTGCAATGTTGCGTCTCTTGACATTTTCGAGTAATCCTAGTTTTGCTGCGATATTTTCCTTGGCAGACAGTCCGCATTTTACATATGCCTGAGCCCTGTACGGATATTTTATGGCCACCATAATATTATGACGCTGTTCGGAGGAGAGCCAACGGTTCAATAGTATTATACTGTTCTCAATTCTCAGAAATTGCGAGAAAACAAAACACAGTCATAAAACCTTTTGCTGTGTGAGTGCTGACCAGTTAATTAATATAATATATTGTTGGCAACAATTTATTTTTATGAACTAGTGTTCCATTTTATTATGCTGTAGGGAGACAGCCCTTGGAGAAGTGTGACTAGCAAGACCGCCCACTCATGTTGAGAAGAATCTTCCTCGATAAGTGCATAAAGATTTCAAGACCATTGTTGCATTTATATATATTTGACATATCTATCAGGTGCTTTGTTCTTAACCTGTCTGCAAGCCTTTTCTGTTTTGTTTTTGTTCCCTTCCTAATTTCCTCCTTACATTCAACACAGTCCATTGCATCCTGTTCTAGTAAATTCACCACAGTATCTATACCTGTATCATTCATGTCCTTCTTGCACAGATCTTTAAACTGTAGATGCAGATCTTGACATGTGCTGCCTATCTGTAGTTCACCATAGAGCAAGTCCTAGGAAACTCTACCATACTCCACTATATTTTTAGCTCAAAACTAACAAATGAATATTTCAATCATATCTAGCCCGCGGGCTGCCACTTGAAAGCCTTACCCTATACCTTTAGGGTAGGAGGCGAGTGTCAAGCTACTATGTCGCTGCGGCTCCCACTGGCTGTAAACTCTGGTGGAAAGCCCTGATTGTTTGTGTCTGAACACTGGTCGTGTTCCAGGAACTGAGTGTTATGTGCACACCAGTTTTTTTTTCAGATATGGCTTATTGTTTGTAGACTATTGGTTCCTCATTTCAAGCAACTTTTTATCTTGCCATTGAACATGTATTCCCAAATGGGATATTTTCAAATAAATCATTTATTGAAAATCTACCACCTCTGTATAAGATGCACACGGTTTTAAGACCCTATAGTTTTGGAAAATAAGTGTCAGCTATCTTCTGAATAACGGTCCCAAATTATCAAGGCAGAAAATATACCCTAACAGAGCCTCAGTCACGTGTCAATTGCGCACTTCCGGCAACTTGCGCCACCACTGAGAGTATCCCCCACGCCGCGTGGATTGGGGCTAATCTAGATGGCTGGCACTCACGAGCAGCAGCTACCGCATTTCCTGCAGCTGCCTTCATTTTATTTGCTCGTGAGTCCCAGCCATCTAGTTTAGCCCCAATCCACGCCGTGGGGGATACTCTTGGCGGTATAGTCCCCCGGAAGTACGCAATTGACATGTGACAGGCACTGTTAGGGTATATTTTCTGCCGCGATAATTTGGGACCGTTTTTCGGAAGATAGCCAAAGTGTCTTATACTTAGGGAAATACAGTAATTTTCCTGTAAGATACAGCACATATGGTGATGGAAGCTTACAACAGTCTCTTCTGTGCTGAAATGACACTTTATGATTTTGATATAATTTCAGATTCTCATTTAGAGCTGCTGTAAATAGAACTGCACTCATCATGTTGCGGTTCAGATATCGTTTGCGCCCGCGGAAAATGCAGGTATACCCTGGTGGTGGGCAAGGTGAACGCTTGATGCGGCTACGCCAGATTGTCACTGGTCTTATACGTTTTGAAAGGGTGGAGCCAGACTGGTTGCAAGCAGATGAGGCTCGACAATATGCAGAAAGGGTGAGGATGTTCATTTTTCATCATGGAAAAACAATCAGTATGATTACATAAGGTTATTGAACTCATGTTTTATTCATCATAGGATTCAGAAAACTCAGCACTGTCAAAACTCTCATTAATGCAGGTAAATGAGAGTTGCGGTGTGATACAGGCGTGTTTGGGAATGAGCAGGCAGATAAACTGGCTGGATGGACTGGCCCCACTTGACAGTTAGTCTGCAACTGCACAAGGCAGAAGTGATCTCTAACTTGTGGGACAAAGTAGTTGAAATAGAAGATGCTCGAAACCCATACCTATAGAGAATGGCACAACTGGGAGTGTCTGTGGGCTCTGGGTGCCACTTGAGACTCAAAGGGAAGGCAAGATGAGTGGTTAACCAATATGGTTAATCTTCTGTCTGTTGAGGAGGGAAATTGGGCAAATATGGGCTTGTTCTGAATGCTGTGGTGTCAAATCTTTACCCTGATGAAGCCAGATAAAAACCTCTCTCAACCGTCACATCTGATGGTTCTTTAGCTTGTCTGTGTTTGATGGCGAATCACTGTCTTCTTATATTACTTCATCCTCAGATCCATGTGTGGCATTTGAAATCCCACACTTCTTAATTGACTTGACAACGATCTGAATCTTCACATTATCCCATGATCTTTTTACCAGAGTGAAAACCTCTGTAGTTGATTTTTTCACACCACCTGCTGGTGTCAGATGGTCCCCCAGAAGACTTCATCCATTGGTTCCATTTGTCTCTCATGGCAACTTTGAAGGGTTTGTTAATGCTGGCATTGAGTGGTTAATCTTAGGGGACACAGGAATTCCTAACATCACAAATGTGAAACAATGAGCATGAAGAAGAAAAGCGCAGAAACTATTACAGCGGGAAATAACTTGGAATTTTGTAATTTTTTTCTCTCTATTTTATGTTGCCTCTGAGCCAGCATTTCCAAAGTAGGCCCTGTACTGGATATTTTTCAACAAATCATTTGATAAAAATCTACTACCATTGTAAAAGAAACACACTTTTTTATTACCCTGTAGTTTGGGGAAAATAAGTCTGCTTTATACTTAATGCCACACAGTTTGATGCATTGTATCAGTTGATTATTTCTTGGAGGCTGTTCTTACTGCTGTGATTCAGTGTTTTGCATGGTCCTTCCCTTGCTGTTTGTTCATTGTATTTCTTCAGTACAGCAATTGGTACCAGGGTTAGATGGCCAAACTATCTTATCTGTTGTTCTTTGATGAACTATATAAATGGTTTCATCATTTATTGCTTTCATTCAAAGATATAAAACCGAACGAAAAGTAGATTATCGAGCTTCATAATATAACAAATACAAACGAAGTGAACTTTGCGGCTACAGAGCCTTCAACAGCACATACATAAATCAAACAAAAGCACACACACAAAAATCACTTAATTGACGTATCCTGAAGCACATACCTTAACTCTTTGAGTCCCAAGGAATGCATCATACGTTCATAGGTTCCTACCTAGAAGCCCAATGAACGCTTGATGCGCCGATTTTATTACTTTCTTTACTACCCCCTGGGCCTGTGATGCTAAATACCCTGGGACTTAAAGAGTTTATGTCCAGCCAGTATAATGAAGAGACCCATGTAGCCCAGGACTAAATAGCCCTGGAATGCCAAGGGCCAATACACAAGAATTTTAGATAAAACTGTTGACAGTTCAGTCCCCTTGATTGCTGTTAGAAGTACTCAGATGCAGGATAGTTTCTACTGTAGATGTTGCATGCATGTTTCATTACCAGAATGTTTGTTTTTTCTGGCAGTTATTGTATCTGGCTGTGAAGAATGGAGACAAAGACAGGCAAACCATGGAATTGGCTGACTTTTGGCTTCTGGTCAGTAGCTGTTTAATTTGGTTCTTCCTGGTTTTTTTTTTTTAAATTTATGGATGTTCATGTCTCTTTGTTTATATATCCATTCATCAGTTTGGCTGTCTCTCTCTATCTGTCTGTCTGTCTATAAAAGAAGGGCCTGCCCAATGATTATTTTTAAAGTCAAGCAGGCAAAGGCTATGCAGTAATACAAACAGCAAGAAAGCAGTAGGAAGAAGAAACACCTGAAAGAGTGTAAAACCAGGGTTTGAGATGTAGTGCGCATCCATTGGAGGTTATCCTGTCTTGTGAAAACAGCACCTGATTGATTGATACTTTCATGCATGATTTTGATTTTCGGTGTATGTTTCATCAAACTGTTTATCGATCAAATCTAAGCATTGCATTGCTCTTACTCTTCTGCTAGAATATTGCTAATATCTTGTAAAATAGAAATGAAACTGTTTCATAGCATCTTTTATGCATAGGTAGGCACGGCTTAAATTGGGTGCTCGGAAATTTTCTGGAACACAATTTTTCGTCATTTTAAAGCCCCACTCAGGCTGTTCTCGGGGGCCCTAATATAACCTAACGGTGGAACGGGGTTTCTGGGACTTGCGCGGTGGTGATTCTCATCCGAATGGTGGCACTTTGTGTATTTATTGCTCATTGTACAGTCTTGGTGGGGTTGAACTTCATTCATTCAATCCTCCACCCACCCCCCTCAGACACAATAGATAGTGCTACCAGCCTCTAGCGCCGGACCACAAGCTGTTCATCTTTAACTCTTTTAATACCAGTCAGTTCACCATGTGTATCTTTGTAAAGGTAAAGTCGGGAGATGTGAACCAGCTTCATTGCACACGGTTATAAACCATAAGTGCTCTGCCACCAGTACGGACAGCCGATAAGAACTGTGTTCGCACGTAACTCTCGCACGTAACTCTGTGGCTACAGCAACGTTCCTCCATTTACCTCAGAGTGTCAACTCTGGTACCCATTTCCTAGAGGCTGGGTAAACCCCGCGAACCGCCCGGTTTAGAACACTGACCGTGGCTGCAGCGAGTCGCAGCTGGATTTGAAAGTGAGCCTCTTATTGACTGCGCTGATGCGGCCCCAGTATATCTTTGTACCCTTATACGGGATGTATATCTCTTCTCCAGTCTCATTATTCTTTTGTGTTAATCTTTCTATCCAGTTTACTGATGCAGCCTTTTCAGTCCCATAGGTGTATTTTTCCATCCCCTTCTTCTCGGCATTCTGATCCCTGGATGTTTTCATTGCTGCGGACATCACCCGCCTCCATTAATCTCTGTGATTAGTCCTTGTTCCATTTGGTGACTCGAACCCGCCTCCAATAATCTCTGTGATTAGTCCTTGTTCCATTTGGTGACTCAAACCTGCATCCATTATTCTCTGTGATTAGTCCTTGTTCCATTTGGTGACTCCAACCCGCCTCCATTATTCTCTGTGATTATTCCTTTTTTTCTATTTGGTGACTCAAACCCGCTTCCATTATTCTCTGTGATTAGTCCTTGTTCCATTTTGTGACTCGAACTCGCCTCAATTATTCTCTGTGATTAGTTCTTGTTCCATTTGGTGACTCGAATCCGCCTCCATTATTCTCTGTGATTAGTCCTTGTTCCATTTGGTGACTCGAACCCGCCTCCATTATTCTCTGTGATTAGTCCTTGTTCCATTTAGTGACTTGAACCCGCCTCCATTATTCTCTGTGATTAGTCCTTGTTTCTTTTGGTGACTCGAACCCACCTCCATTAATCTCTGTGATTAGTCCTTGTTCCAGTTGGTGACTCTAAGTGTTTGCAGGTGTGTGTGTATATTATCTCTCCAGTGTTTTCTTGGTCTGCCTCATGGTCTATGACTATTGAGCTCCCTTAAGTATACAGTTTTTACATCTCTGTCATCTGATTCTCTCAATATGCCCCAGCTATTTCAGTCTATTATCCCTCATGATGCCAGTGATCAATGGTGATTTAAACAGAGTATGAATTTCATAGTTGCTTCTCACTCTCTCTTTCCTTTCCATTCACTCACATTAGACTTAAAAATTGTTACTATAAAAAAAAATTAACTTAGCATTAGAATTGTATCAAAAACTGTAGGATTGAAAGAGTTAAATTGTTTAATGCCAGAAGTGGAAGTTGATGATGATGATAATATTATGGTTATCTCAGCAAACAAGCCATGTCTTCTACAGGAGAAGGACCTGGTCCATAAGCTGTTCAAGGTGCTAGTTCCACGCTATGCCAACTATAAGACTTGTTACACAGATCTTCACAAACTACCGAAAGAATACCCAGCTACTGGTATCCCTCAAGGAGTGTTAGAGCTGCGGGGTGAGTACAATTAAACGTGTGGTTTGCTTTATGTGAACTGAATCACTTGTTTAAACCTTCCAGGGTTAAACTGTTGATTATATCCATTAATTTCTTTTCTTCTGTTGGTCTTGTTAGTGCATGTTTATTGTATTTCAAATGTGCACAGAGTTACATTTTCATAGTGACCTTGGCGCCCAGGTCGAGCCAGCTTTAAATGAGTACCAGGTAAAGTCTTGGAAAGTAAAGGCAGCCAGCATGGTGTTAACCACATCACCTATCGAGGGCCAGATAGTCTGTACAAATGTGAATCTAGCCTCAGAAAACCCTATGCGCCACTGGTGTTGTTATCAATCCAGCAGCACATGAGCTTTTGCTTTTTGGCCCAATGCCATGTAGTGGAATTTACTTGTTTTCACAAGCTGTTCTTTTCCTCCATATGAGGTGTGTAAATGGACCATTAATTTTATTTAACTTTATTATTATGATGTTCATATTCGAAAATAGTTCTGATAAGATTCACTTTAGTACTCCAGGGTATCTGCTTGTGTGTCAGCAGGGGAGATAGTTGCCCCATTACTGTTTTGCTGATATAGACATATTTCTACTGAGAGTGTTTGTGCATCCTGATTGCTTTAGTGAATATCCTGACTGGCTGCCTCTGACTTACAGCATCTTGTTTTGCTGAGGTAGACTATGATCATACTTGAGCAGTATGGTTTTATGGCACCAGATACTCACCATTACCCCATCTCCTGTGGCTTAAACTTTCTGCCTTGTTTAGGCCAGCAGTTTTTTTTTTCCAGAAGTTTACGCAAATAGCAAAATTAGTAAGAACTTACTATGTCTTGAATTTCTAGCAGTGAGTTGTACAGTGTGACTGGAGACTGTGATTTGGTTTTTTTTTCCTGTTGTGGAAATGATTCAGTTTTAGGAGTTCTGTTAAATCTGTAGTAAGGCACCTGAAGAGCTGCAGCCAAATTTGCCAGGCAGTAAATTGTGCAGTTAATTTTGTGTGTCTGCTCTTATTAAAATGGGCATCACCTTGGTATAGCAAGAAAGAAGACGCTCATCTGAAGGTTGTGAATGCAGGTAGAAACAAAGCCTGATTTTTGTATTTAAACAAATATGATCTTGGCTCCTGGGTTGACCCAGCTTTAAGTGGGTAGCAGGTAAAGTCGTAGAAAGTAGAGGCGTCCGGCGTAATGTTGACCGCGTTACCCATATAGGTCTAGCAGTGTATACCCAGTATGCCTGAAGGCGTGGCAAAGTGTCCTTCTCTGTACCATTTAAAATAAGAAGGGTAAGCTAAAGAAGTTTATCCATATTATGATCTTCATCTTTTGCAGGAAACCCTTGGCCACCCATTGTAGCACGACAACGGGACACCAAGTTTCTGCTGTCCAATATGCTCTTGTCCGCTGCCAGACATGACTATTACGTCAATAAGCAGAAACAGTCTCCATCAACCTCAGCACACAACAGTACATCTCCTACAACTGACCCCAGCGATGGGTCCTCTGAGGCGTCAGCAGCTGATTCTCCTCCAGCCTCAGTCGCCAACAGTGAGTTTTCATCTTCTGTGGATCCACAACCAGATAAACAGAGTGTCTCAAAGGATGTGTAATAGCTGGTACATGACATTCAAAGTTGGCATTGTATTGCTTTGTTACTGGCGTGTTTATGTGATTTTAGAGACTGTTTAGTATGGTTTTTTAATTAAATTAAGACTATTGAGGGAATACTTTTGAGTTGGTTTGTTTGTTTATTAATCTGATCAGAACGTTTAACTTTAAAAAAAAAGTTAGGAAACCAGCTCTTTGAATACAGTGGGTCAAAAGGGAGAGAACTACTGTTGTTCTCCAGGAGCTGAGAACTGAAGAGGAAAAAAAATAAAAGGCCCATTTTCACACTATCTGTTATCACAGCATCACATTTCATGCCATCCCTTTTCTCACTGTTTTCACACCATCCCATTTTCACACTATTTTTAGCACAATCCCTTTTCACACCATGCCCCTTTATAACACCAATTTTCACACATCGTCCCTTTTCACACTATTTCATGCCATCCCTTTTCACACTATCGGTGCATATGGTACTAGACCCAGCAGGTTTAGAGACCACTCAGCAGTCATTGGGTGATGTAGTCAACATCACATTGTCTGCTGTTTGTGTCCATGACATTTTCTGATACCCATTTTAGGCTGTCTACACCTAGAAAACTTATCACAGACATAAGAAGGAGACAGTCATCGTTTTTCGGCCATGTTATGAGAAGAGAGAAAATAGAACATGTTGTGACCACTGGAAAGATCTGTAGAAGGAGGGATAGAGAAAGACAACGAGAGAAGATGCTTGACAGTCTTGTTGCATGGCATGAAGGTGTGTCAGCACACGAACTGATACATGCTGCAGGAGATCGCAGATTATGGAGAGGCATGATTGCCCATGCCAGTCGGCAAGGCACCTGATGATGATGATGACACCTAGGTCAATTCTAAAAAACCTGCCTTGGTGCAAATGTAAACCCAACTGATTATACATATAACAGAATGTTGCACAGATGTCAGCAAATTAACCTACACATCACATTAGGTTGTTACAGATGGACATAGAGGTCAGGGAATCAACTTATACACATCACATTCATGACAATTCCTGCCCAGGTGATGGGATTATCTATACAGATGGCTCTGTGTTGAGGGGCAGATGTAGTGCATGGGGGTTCATAGCAAAGTCAAAGGGATGTTGCTTATTGCAGCAACGCCTTGCATATGATATCACAAGATCTAGTCTGAAAATGGAGGTGGAGGCAGTCTCTGCCGTCTTCCACTGGCTTGAGAATCAGCTGTACACACATGCCCTAATTGTAACTAACTCACAGAGCATGTTGAGAAATGTGGAGACAGGCATGCTTCGTGCAGGGTGGCTAGCCATCACTTCAAAGGTCCTGGGTAGTTAGTGTACTTTGGATATTTACTCCAGGTATGCCGGTGCGTTGGGAAATGACCAGGCAGATAGACTGGCCGGTTCTGAACCACTTAGTGTTAAACTGATGTATTACAAGTTAGATATTGTGAGGGCTTTTTGGGGATGGGTGAACAGTGCGTATGCGCAGATAGATCGTTACAGTCCAAGGAGAATGGATACTTAATTCAACATTCAACACATCATATGACAGGTTTTTACAGATGTCAGTGAATCAACTTTCACACATTACAAATGACAGGTTGTTACAGATGTCAGTGAATCAACTTTCACACATTACAAATGACAGGTTGTTACAGATGTCAGTGAATCAACTTTCACACATTACAAATGACAGGTTGTTACAGATGTCAGTGAATCAATCTATGCATCACATATAGCAGATTTTTTAAAGACCTACACAGGTGTCAGCGAATCAACTGATTCACATCACATTTGACAGACTGTTACAGATGGATACAGGTGTCAGTGAATCAACTTACACACATCACATTTGACAGACTGTTACAGATGGACACAAGTGTCAGTGAATCAACCTACACACATCACATATGACAGTTACAGGTGTCAGTTAATCAACTTACACACATCACACATGACAGTTACAGATGGATACAGGTGTCAGTAAATCAACTTACACACATCACATATGAAAGACTGTTACAGATGGACACAAGTGTCAGTGAATCAACCTACACACATCACATATGACAGATACAAGTGTCAGTGAATCAACTTACACACATCACATATGACAGACTCTTACAGATGAACACAGGTGTCAGTGAATCAACTTATACACATCACATATGACAGACTGTTACAGATGAACACAGGTGTAAGTGAATCAACTTACACACATCACATATGAAAGTTACAGATGAATACAGGTGTCAGTGAATCAACTTACACACATCACACATGACAGCTACAGATGGATACAGGTGTCAGTGAATCAACTTACACACATCACAGTTACAGATGGATACATGTGTCAGTGAATCAACTTTAGTTACAGATGGATACACGTGTCAGTGAATCAACTTACCCATATCACATATGACAGACTGTTACAGATGGACACAAGTGTCAATGAATCAACCTACACACATCACATATGACAGATACAGGTGTCAGTGAATCAACTTACACACATCACATATGACAGTTACAGATGGATACAGGTGTCAGTGAATCAACTTACACACATCACATATGACAGACTGTTACAGATGAACACAGGTGTCAGTGAATCAACTTACACACATCACATATGACAGTTACAGATGAATACAGGTGTCAGTGAATCAACTTACACACATCACACATGACAGTTACAGATGGATACAGGTGTCAGTGAATCAACTTACACACATCACAAATGACAGTTACAGATGGATACATGTGTCAGTCAATCAACTTCAGTTACAGATGGATACAGGTGTCAGGGAATCAACTTACACACATCACATATGACAGTTACAGATGGATACACGTGTCAGTGAATCAACTTACACATATCACATATGACAGACTGTTACAGATGGACACAGGTGTCAGTGAATCAACTTACACACATCACATATGACAGTTACAGATGGATACAGGTGTCAGTGAATCAACTTAAACACATTACATATGACAGACTGTTACAGATGAACACAGGTGTCAGTGAATCAACTTACACACATCACATATGACAGACTGTTACAGATGAACACAGGTGTCAGTGAATCAACTTACACACATCACATATGACAGTTACAGATGGATACAGGTGTCAGTGAATCAACTTACACACATCACATATGACAGACTGTTGCAGATGGACACAGATGACAGTGAATCAATTTACACACATCACATATGACAGTTACAGATGGATACAGGTGTCAGTGAATCAACCTTCACATATGACAGTTACAGATGGATACAGGTGTCAGTGAATCAACTTACACACATCACAGACTGTGACAGATGAACACAGGTGTTAGTGAATCAACTTACACACATCACATATGACAGACTGTTGCAGATGGACACAGATGACAGTGAATCAACTTACATACATCACATATGACAGACTGTTACAGATGAACACAGGTGTCAGTGAATCAACTTACACACATCACATATGACAGTTACAGATGGATACAGGTGTCAGTGAATCAACTTACACACATGACAGTTACAGATGGATACAGGTGTCAGTGAATCAACTTACTCACATCACATAAGGCAGACTGCTTTGATACAGGCAGTCATATCAGTGGGTCAGCCAACTGACTGACAAACAAGATGTTGCTACAGATGGACAAATCGGTGAATCAACTGACACTGATTGTCTGCTACATGGGGGACATTAATGTCAGAAAATCAACTGACAACAACAAGCAAGTAATAATGCACAGAACATCAATATTATGAAATATATAGAAAACATTTATTGAATTATCCGCACACAATGAAACAACATAATTAAATGCTATACCAAATTACCAGAACACCCTGCTCAACCCCGTCTGCCATACTGAGACAAAATACCTCAAAGAATATTAAATTTGCCACTATAGGAGGCGCGATGAAGCTAAACCCATCCAGTTGCTTTACAAACGTATGAAAGATATATTATTAATATTGGCAGGTGTTGCAAAATTAAACTAAGCACATGTTAGGAAATAAGCATTCACCTGATGTCACTATAAAAATTTAGCATTGGCACTGACTGCTTGGGGAGTCACCGTGGCCGAGCGGCCAGACGCTCACGGTGGATCAGAAGGTCGTGGGTTCGCTCCCTGGCGGAGCCGGGCTTTTTTTCAAAAATGACCTTGGCTCCCAGGTCGACCCAGCCTTAAGTGGGTACTGGGTGCAGTCCCGGGAAAGTAAAGGCGGCCGGTGTGACGCTGACCACATCACCTATCTTGTGCCGACTGGTCTATAAAAATATAGGTCTAGCCCTATACGCCTAAAGGCGTGGAAAGGATCCTTTACTTTTTTTTACTTACCCACTGCTTGAGGAGACATTCTGGACTAAAGCCATTGAGGTGCATTTAATTTAATCATGCCTAATATCTTTCTAAATACATTTGGTGAAAATCTTCTTTCGCTTCAACAACCACTGTCTCTTTTGAAAATACATAGTACTGTTGTGGCGTAAGCAATCCCTCTTAATCTTCATTAACAAAAATAAGCACTTGAATTAATTATGTGTGGTACATCCAGAGGAGGAAAAAATAATCACAACAAAATCTCAAGAAAAGTTAACTCTCAATCATAACTATGAAGAAAAACTTCTATATAATAGGCTTTTACTTACATCCTGAGTGTTGTAACAGCTGAGGGCCTAGTATGTTTGCTTGCCGACCCAGTCATGATAGGTTCGAATCATCACCGAGGTGGAATTTAAAAACTGAGCAGGGCCTCTAGGTTAACCCAGCTTAAAATAAAAGTAAAGATCCCTTTTCACATCTTTAAGTGCATCGGGCATATGGGAAGAGCACCCATATTTTTACAGACCAGTTGGCATGTCATTGTTCATGTCTACAAACACAGTAAAGGTCCCTTTTAATGCCACTGACACAGTGGTATATAGTGCTAAATCCATATTTTCAATTGGTAGTGTGGGTCAACATGATA